ACGAAGCAATAGAAGTGGGGGATTTAGGGCAAGTTTATGTAGATCCTACGTTAAGTACCCGCAAATTGGAGACTCTGTGTGGTGTTAGTCGACGTGCTGTCCAACGGATTCTAAAGACCCATAGTTTTCATCCGTGTAAAATTCACCTGGTACAAGAACTTAATGAAGACGATTTTGTTCGGCGATTACAATTTTGTGAAGATATGAGTGAACGAAATATAAACGATGAACATTTTCTATTTAACACTTGCTTTTCCGATGAATGTTCCTTTTTCTTAAATGGCATAGTAAATTGTCATAACTGCCGATGTTGGTCCGATTCTAATCCCAGAATTTATCATGAGGTTCATACACAGCAGCCACAAAAATTAAATGTTTGAGCTGGTATTTTTGGCGATCATTTAGTTGGTCCTTTTCTCTTACCTGGAAATTGGACCGGTGAAATGTATTTGGAACTACTGGAAGACGCCGTAGATCCTGCGGTAACAGCCATAATTGAAAATCAGAATGATCGGCGGTAGATTGCGAATAGGTTGATGTTCCAACAGGATGGTGCCCCATCACATTACGCATTACGTTTTCGACAATATTTAGATCAGACGTTTCCATATCGATGGGTGAGTAGAAGAGGTGCCATTGAATGGCCCCCAAGATCGCCAAATTTATCACCTATGGATTTCTTTATGTGGGGTCATTTAAAAAGCAAAATCTATGCTACTCAACCAACATCATTAGAAGCCCTGCGACAAAGAATTGTGAATCAGTGCCTTCAAATTATTCCTCAAATATTGCAAAATGTGCGGCAACGTTTTGAGCAAAATCTTTATTATTGCATGGAGAGTCATGGTGGCCATTTTTAACATTTACTTGCCTAACGGGTCAGTTCATTCTTCATTTTTAAATTACTTTGCTGCCAAATATATTGATCTCCGCTAATGATGATGTATTAGTTTTATTTAAGCTTTAAATCAATAAATCTTCAAAACTGCTGAACTGAAGTACATTAATTTTATAACATTATAAACGGAATTGAAAGACCTTTAAAATAAGGTATCACTCGACCCCCTTTTCCATTTATGATTTTAGGGGTGGTGTCACCCCCGCTTAGGAGGCTGCACGTGCTAACGTGATTTTTTGCCAAACTTGTGTCCCCCTCGAAAACAAAATCGACGGCTCTGAGCGTTTTTCCAAAAAAAACTCAGCTGCCAGTAAATGCGTCTGTTTCGTTTTCGATGCGCCACCCTGTATATTAACTGTGCATTACCTATAGATATCATCGGTTCATCAAGGACTATGTTTGGCATGAGTTAGACCCTCTGAGAACATGCACAAAAAAAATTAAATGAATTAAGTCGGTCAAACAGTCCGATACAATTGGTCTCTAGTCGCTAGTCCCAAATCATTTGACAACGTTACGAGTTAGAAATCTCTTCCATACTCTACCGACAGTACCGACCATCTGGCAACGTTGCGTTGGACGCGTGTGTTGAAAATATTTCTTCGTATCACTCTAGGTTTTGAGGGCAAATTGTCTGTGTATGAGAGAAGTCTGATAGGTATGTAGCAGAATAATAAAGGTATCGCTGGATCCGCCTTAGCAGTGCAAGAGACACTAGCTATATTAAAATTTCATAAAAACAATATGCCGGATTTTTAATAAAAAATTCAGCCTTGAAATTTCTATTTCACGGGATGCACCTTAACTGGCATAATGGATGTTGGCATATGAGGTATTTTCGAATTAATCTTAGCAGTGCGAGAATGAGTCGATATGTTAAAATTTATTAAAAACAAAATGGCGGATTTAAATAAAAAAATAGGGCTTGAAATTTATATTTCATGCGCTTCAGCTTAAACGGCTTGATTTTGGAATATACGATGTTCCTAGATTTGCCTTGGGAGTACGAGTTACACAACTTGAAAATTCAAGTTTGAAATTTCTATTCCAGGGGCTGCAGCTCAAACGATTTTTGACATACGACGTTTCCCTAATTTGTCTTAACAACTTGACATCTAAGGTGTCCTTAGGTTCGTCTTTATAGTACAATAAAAAATTATTAGACGTAAAAGCGCAACTCAGGTTAAAATTAACATTCATAGAACCAAATTATGACCATCTGATCTCATCCAAGCAGAAACAATTCCATGCTTCGCAATAGTCGAAATAAATGTTATTCATAATGGAGCTTTTATTTATGTTTTCTAATGAATATATTTCATTTTTCGTTTAATATTGTTTTTTGCATGTACCAGAGATAGAAAATATAGGGTGTCTAAGATACGGATCCTATGCAAATTACGGCACTGCTATGATGATGATCTCATATGTAGATATGTTTAGATTTGCACTTTTCAATTCCCTTATCCTAGCCTAGATTATAAGTAGGAGGTACTTCTAAAAGAATGTGACCGGTACACATTCGTCTTCTGTTAAACGAAGTCGCTTTTTCAAACAATCGTTCGTTGTTTGCATATTCATAATTTGCATGTAGATCTCAATACCTGTGGGAGATACAGCTCAGGTTAAATAAGGAACGATTTGCGTTATTTGGGGCGTATTTACATACCGTTGAGAAACTTGTAAGAATTTCACGGCTTAATGAGATATTTGGGAAAAAACTTTTAAGAAATATCACAAAACAAATGAAACTTTTCCATTTGTACTTTTTAGGCACTATATGATGGTGCTTTTAAATTTTGTGCCCGATGGTTCGTTTTTAAGAAACTATTATCAAGTCTATTTGTTTATATGGTCCGGAAAGGTGCATCCCTATTTAATAGCATTCATTATACGAATTAAACGATGTGTGACAGGCTACATTTATTTTCTTGGTTATAATCAAAAATGCGTTTTTTTCTGATATTATTTATTTATTTATTTATTTCCAACAGGTGAAACCCAATTACAGGAAATGCTGAAAAAAATAACAATTAACGAGACATGGTTCTTGGACTTAAATCTATAGTATCACACATTCTAAATAAGATTGGACGATCTGTAGCAGTTAATAATCGATGCACAACTGTCACTGTAAATATCACAGGATTCAGTAACACTGTTCATGACGCAGCACATGAGATTAATTGGCGATTTTGTCATAACAATGCCGTTTATTGTCGACTCCCTAGCCTTGGAACGTGGAAACATATTTTTTCAAGTAAATTTTGACAGTCAATTTTATTGTGAATGAGGCCATACAAAAACGACAAAGCAAATATGTTTCGTCTTGTTGACAGTGAATCCAAATTGAAAAACTCTAATAGGGTACTATGGTCACAACCTCTTGCTGGATAAGAACCTGTGCATTTAAGGTGAAAATACTTTAAAGCTTTACGTTGAATGGCTTCATGGATCACGACAGAATTTTGGTATATAGGAGACCAGATCAGAGTCGCATACTCCAACTTGATCCTGACAAAAGTAAAAAATAAAGTCATTAATGTATCAACATTGGAGAAACCCTTCCAGTTTCTGATACAGAAACCAAGTAGTCGAGTGGCAGCCGACGAGATATCGAGTATATGCTCAGTAAACGTTAGCTTGGTATCAAAAATGACTCCAAAGTCTCTATAAGAGGTGCATCTGTCTATAACCTGACCATTGATGTTATAATTATCATAAACTAAATAGTTAACTTTTCTTGTATAAGTCATAACTTTACATTTCGAAACATTCAGACTGAGACTGTTTCGTGAACACCATGACGAAATTAAAGCTAAGTCATCTTGCAACATAACGCAATCCTCGACTGTCTTGACTGACGTGCAGATTTTAAGGTCATCAGCGAAAAACAAATGGAAACACTTCAGTTCAAAACACAAGTCATTAATAAATATCAAAAACAACAATGGACCTAGGTTTGACCCTTGAGGTACCCCGGACGTGGCCCGATAGTAACTCGACCTATGACCACCATATTCGACAAATAACCTTCTATCCCTCAAATATGAATTCATGAGCGACAGCATTGCACCACTGTTTTAAGCTTATCCAGAAGTGCATAATGATCAACTTGATCAAACGCCTTCTGAATATCTGTGTAGATGACATCAACTTGTCCCTGACCATCCAGTACTTCAGAAATGTACTGACTAATTAGTTGGTGACCGTATCTGATGAGACATCAACTAGTCAAATTAATAAAAATGTAGAAGTAGCCAAATCCACAGCCCAATTTATTTTGCGTTAAAATAGATATCACCCCTATAAATTCAGGATTTGCCAATGACTTAGACCAGGGTCGACGAGAGTGGGATAAAAAGGTATCCAGACATCAAGTACGTTTTGGGTTAAATATGTGGTGTGGAATTTTAGGGATGAAAATATTCTGTCATTTATTTACCACAACTCACTAACTGCAGAACGGTGTCTTCAGTTGTTGCAGCGTGATCTAGAACACTGCCTGGATAATTAACCTTTGGCACTGGATAATAGCTGTTGGTTACAGCAAGACGGTGCTCTTGCACATAACCCTAGGCAAGTTCGAGAGTATCTTTCGCAACCAGCACGTTCCCAGGATTTAAGTCCTCTAGACATTTTTTGTTTGTTTTAATAAAGGCCAAATTTATCAGCGTACTTTTGAAGCTGAGCATCAGCTACGATTAATGTAAATGGAAGCATTTGGTATGATTACCCCAGACCTGTTATGTATCTTTTGAATTCTACTGTTAGAAGATCATATTCATGTTTATAAAATAATGGCAACCTATTTGAACACCTATTGATAATAGTTTAACCTAAGCTACTCGTATATCTCCCACAGGTATTGAGATCCCATGCCTGGGATCCTTATCTTGGACACCCTATGATATACGTTTTGATTATTATCGATATATCAACCTCTTTTGACAAGTGGTACACAGCATCACGAAAATTACAGCAGCGGTACACAAATGTCAAAAGTTTGGTAAACACTTGCCTAAAATATGACCTATAAAATTAGATTACTCATTGACATGGGAAGTAATAGGACCGAAATATTTAATCAACTTCCCATCCCGCCAAACAATTTCATCGCCGAAGAATTGTAGGAATTTCCCCCCACTCCACGACTGCGTTCCAGATCGATGCTCCGTCGACCTGCCGGAGTAACGCCGCCGGTATATATACGTGAAGCGCCACAACCATTGCCGGTTAGTGATTGTTGTTCACTTGTTAATAACTAGTTGGCTTATCGGTTCCTCAGTGTGTACACACAGTTTCAAACACAAACATGCCATCACCTTGTGGAGACTGCAAAGGTATGTTGATCGTCTGCTTTTAATGGAGTAAATCAATATTGTCGTTTTGAGGTTATTCATAATTTTACGATCTATATATCTATAATATGTTCCGTTTTCTGCAATTTTTCAATCAAAAATAGGTGTTCTATAAATTCTGCTGAGGCGTCGTAATTACGTATTATATGTTCTAACATAGAGCAATTCGAATAAGAGGCCTAGGATTTTTACGTTATCAAGTGGTGTGTTACAGATCTGGAAGGAAAAATAAGTATCTGTTCACCCCTCCAGTAATGTTACTAATGATAACTATGTCTAGCTGCACTTGCAGTATGTGAACATAGATTATATCGTTTGGGCGTATATTCTAGACTTTGTGTCCAATGTTTTATTAGACAAAACAGTGGACCAGGTCAGTTCCAATGCGTAGCTAAGCAACATCATATAGTGTGTTCGAAACACTGTGTTTACTAAATGATACTCTACGAGCCCCTTCCCACTTAAGTTGACCCGCTTCAAGATTTGTACAAAAATATGCCTTTATAAAGTAAACATGACGAAACCATTTACTTCTAAAACAATTTATTTTCTCAAAAACATTTTAGATACACTCTAGTCGTAAAAAATACATATTTGAAATCACTTAGACCTATAACTAATAGAACATCTGAACAAATAAACAATGTGCGATTAAATGCGCAGTTAACAAAGCAACAATTGAAAGATTACCATTGGGTAACATCACCTTTATTTTTTATTACTGTTGAAATTCTTTGGGGCATAGTGTTAACCAAGTTTTGGCAAAAATTTCTTGTAAAACAATCCCATTTTTCTTGAAGCTTTCGTCTCAGTTCGGTGATTGTACGAGCAGGATGTTGTCGTAGAACCTTTTTCATCTCGTGCCACAAAGTTTCAATAGGTGACAGATCTGGACTGCTAGAAACCCATTTCAAAAGTGGTACATTATTTTCTTCCATCCATTTTATAGCCTTTTTTGAGGTATGGCAAGCTGCACCATCTTGCTGAAACACAAAATCTTGGCCGGATGTCAAACATTCTTCCATCACTGGTAAAAGCGATTCTTCTAAAATTGCCAAATATTTGTTTGTATCCACATTTCCATCAATGAAATAAAGTTTTCCTACTCCTTTTAATGACATACTGCCCCAGACCATAATGGATGCTGGAAATTTCACTTTTCTCTTCAGACAGTCAACATGGAATGCTTCGTTTTTTTTTTGCGAATAACTCTACTGCGACTGTCACCAACACAAACTTCGAATCGGGCTTCATCACTCCATTGTATTGCACACCATTGTTGAAGTGTCCATTGTCTATGTTCTTTAGCCCATCTAAGCCGATTTGTCTTTTGCAGTGGAGTTAATAGTGGCATTTCTTTGGGCTATAAACAAATTGCGCAACTTTAGGGTTTTTACTTCACTTTTTTTATAAGTAAACTTGCCTTGCAAGTGCTAAATCCCAGTTTGTGGGCCTCTCTATGAGTTGTGGACCTCGAAATTCTCCTTCCAACAGCGTCATTCCACTGAGCACTTAATTGTAAATAATTGGCACGCCTGTTTTTCACGATTATTCTTCTTAATGCTCTTCGGTCGGCAGTTGTGATATTACTTTTTTTCGCATACAGTGGCTTAATATTAACTGAACCAGTTACGTTATATCTTCTAACAATATTTCCACACTGTACCGCGATAAGTCTAACAAAGTTGCTATTTCTGAGGTTGATTTCCCAGAATTAAAAAATTTAATTATCAGTAACCGAATTTTCTCACTAATAACCTTTCCTCTATCCATTTTGAAAACCTTAACTACCCAAAACTATTTTAAACGTATTCTGTCAGCTGTGATTAATAAAAACAATTGTCATTGCTATTATTTTTCACAGCCACCTATGCGTTATAGACTTATTTTGCATTGAAATGAAAATAGGTTGGTATGCTGTAATTGCAACCTGTGTTATTTTTATGCTGCAAATTTGATTAGGGAGTGATAAAGTTGGTGTTTTCTACTATATATTATCAAAATATTCATTGTTAATATTTTAAACCTATAACACCCTGCGACATTATTATTATTTGTGTTTGATAAGAAAAAAACTAAGATTTCAATAGTTGGGTCAACTGAAGTGGGAAGGGGCGCGTATTAAGCATTGCCAAAGTCTTCAGTCTACTCCAAAAGGAAAGTTGGCTAATCAAAATATCTTATGGTAAAGTATTTTGGAATTTGATAGATGGAATGCTTAGCACCACCAAAAAGTACAATCTTCTCGAAATAATATTTTGGATTCTATCACAAAATTAAAGACTACAACGTAGGATATTAAGATTTGGCAACTGCAAAAGCTATAGGTTAATGATTATAAGGTTAACATTAACGACTTTGGAATGGATGGATGTAATGAATTAATTGAAAATAAAACATCCTCATCCTTTATCTCAAACTGATGCTGCCTATCTCTGTATGTGCCGTCCTTTGAAGTGCTAAACTTGAAATCGATTCTTATGTTAGTATCTGAGCTATTATGAATCTAGATACTTCAAGTTGTAAGAATCAGAACAGCGTACAACTCAAATCCTGGTCCCTTGTTATAAATGTACTCCAGAAATATGTGGGTTCATCCCCAAGCTCCACCCCGGACCCGTCGTCATACAGAAACATTCAATTAATACATTCTATTTGGCCTCTCGGTAAAGATTTTGTACGTCTTCAGAAAACTCTGACATCACAGGGTTCTTTCTTGAAAAATTCTTTTTAGTTTTGGAGATATTGTGAACTTATTGGGTGCTAGAACTGACGAGTGCAGTAGTAATCGTCAACATGGCTGAATTTGATAGTTTCATCATGAGCATAGCCAATCTGAGATCATTTTTTGAGTAACATTAGTCTAGAGAAGCTTTCATTCCTTTTGGGTTGGTGTTTTCTACTATAAATTATCAAAATATTCATTGTTAATATTTTAAACCTATAACACCCTGCTACATTCTTATTATTTGTGTTTGATAAGATTTCAATAGTTGGGCCAACTGAAGTGGGAAGGGGCTCGTACTCATTCAAGAATTGGAACATATTGACCAACCAATTAAATTGGAAACTCAAACAATCGGCCGGCTTTTCGAGCAAATTGTAAATCATATCTAAAAGTACTAATGAAATAAACCAATGAAGATATAAACATATGCGCATTAAACTTATTACAACGATATGTTTGCGGCAGAGTCTAAGTGTCCGAAAGAGAAGCTTCCGGTTGGTGCAAAAATATTGCAGCATTATTTCTACTGTTATCATTTCAATAATATTGAATTAAATATGGCATCTTATAGGCTCTAAAACCATACCAATTGACTTCAATTGAAATAAATTGCATCAAAACAGCCGCTGTCATTTATACGAGTAGAACTTAATGGAATTGATTTGTGCAATTGAACGCATATTTTTTTGTATGCATATATTATAATAATGTTTATAGTCTAATCATATTAGACAAAAATACCCCTGGTCTACGAAATAATTGTAAAGTCTTTTTTAATTGCTGCAAGTTGTTCAAGGGGGTATTCAAAACATGGACGCATAAAATGGGTACACCAGTTTTTGCAGGAAAACTTTTTTATCGACAACAAAGATTGAGAAAACGTGTTTTTTTGGATTTGGCACTTGTTGGTAATGCGACAATGGTTTTTCGCAGATATTTGAAAATCTTCAAATTCGTACTTCTAAATAACCACAAAAAAATTGGAGTAGATTAGTCAAGTAGTTTTTGAGAATGTCTAATTGTTTATCCCAAAACACCTGTTTTCCGGCCATCACTACTAGTTTATTCAGCAATATACAGGGTTAGTTCAAAGGGCATTTTATAGTAAAATACACTAGTTTACCTTGCCGATATGAATATCAAACCAGTCTGGAAGATAAATGTTATTTTTATGCAAAAAAGTATGTTACGTTTTTCCTTCTGAACAAATTCAAACATTTCTTATTTGTGAGTACCTACGTCGCAACAAAAGATGATAAACACATCCGCTTTATTTTAACATATGTATAGTAATGTATGTTTTTCGAATACCGTAGCGCATTTGTTCAATTACTCACTAATAAGAAATGTTTGAATTTGTTTAGAAGAAAAAAGTGTAATCTTTGTTTTTCGCATAAATATAACATTTATCTTTTGGAATGGTTTGTGATTCATATCGGCAAGGTAAACACGTGTATTCTGCTATTGCATGCTCTTTGAGCGAAACATGTATATTGCTCAATAAACTACTAGTGATGGCCGGAATACAGGTGTTTTTGCATAAACAATTAGAAATTCTCAAAAAACTACTTGGCCCATATAATCCAATTTTGTTGTTGTTATTTAGAAGTATAAATCCAAGGAATTTGAAGAATTTCCATTAGTTTCGTGGAATTATCGTCGCATTACCAACAAGTGCCAAAACCTGGATTTTGCCTTATTTTTCGGCCATAACATTTTTGGTATTAGTCGGATCTTTTCACTTGTGGTCTCATAGATACCTAAAAATCTTTTATGAAAAGTTTTTTCATTCTTGTCAACACTTCCGATTGAATCCCAAAAAAACACGTTTTCTCATTCTTTGTAGTCAGATAAAAAGTTTTTCCACAGAAATTGGTATACTCATTTTATACGTCCATGTTTTAAATACCCCCTTGAACGACTTGCACCAATAAAACCAGACTTTACAATTAGTTTGGGGAAATTTGCTAATATGATTAGACAATAGTCAATAATAATTGGGGTATTGATGCATAATAGAAATATATTGAAATATATAGAATATAAATTTGATACATTATACAATACGAAATAATAGTAAAACGCTGGGGATTGGTAGAAAATCATACACCATGCACTATATACAAAAACTTACCTATACCATTTCATTTCAGAAATTAACTAATTAACTACTTGTTGCTTCGTTAAACTGTAACTGTAACAGCGCTTTTTTCTTAGTTCGAAAAGTTTTGGGTAAGCATTTAGTATAGTAGGT